GATACGTGTTGATGGAACAGACACCCAGGTCTTTCTCCTGGAGAGCTGATTCACTGTATTTGGGTGTGGTTCAGGAGTCTCATTCTAACCAGTCCCTTGGGGGATTTGTAGGGTTTGCAAGTTTGGGAAAGCTTGGTGTCATTCATTTGACGACACCAAGTGTCCAAGGTCTGGATGGCTCAAGGAGGTCATGGTGTGGTCACAGAAATGTAATTGCAGAGTACTTCACTGGGGTATCATGGGGGAACACTTCCTCCTCAGCACAGGCCAGCAGGAGCCCGAGGCAGGCAGGGCCCTGGCCAGTACCAGCTCCCAGGGGAATACGCCCATTGGGGTTCTCAGCAGAGCGGCTGTGGCCACGTTCCCACTGATGGACATGGGTGGATATCAGAACTGAGAGGATGTAGGGATGGAGGTGAGCCAGGAGGGTACAGGTGGGAGAGGTCAGATGCTCATGTCATCCAGACTACTCTTATCTGCCACCTGGGCTTGCTCCTGGCTTCTCAATGGCCTGCTCTGTGCTTCATGCCTCTTGGGAGAGGAGGCACCACCGCGTGGCCACTTCTGCCCACCTTTAAAAAATTAAAATGAAAAGTTTTTTTCCTGAAAGTTAAGTCCAAAATGTGGGCATCCATTATACACAGCAAAATACACTAGTGATAGAACAAATTCTATCGATTTGAGTGGTGAGTGCGTTAGTCTTTTTTATATTACTCTTTGGTTCTTATTTTGTGCCTTTGAATTTTTTTTTTTTGGAGACAGTGTCTCACTGTGTTGCCCTCGGTGGACTTAAGTGATTCTCTGGCCTCAGCCTTCCAAGTAGCTGGCACTACAGGAGCCCACCCCAATGCCTGGCTATTTTTTTGTTGCAGTTGTCATTGTTGTTTAGTTGGCCCAGACTGGGTTTGAACCTGCCAGCTTCAGTGCATGTGGCTGGCACCGTAACCACTGCTATGGGTGCCAAGCCCCTTTGAAATATTTCATTTTAAAAGTAAGATGATTAAAAATAAAGTACAAACATAACCATGGGTAAGTGGTATTGCTGGACAGATGTAAGTTGATAATATGGGTCATTAACTTCAGGCCATAAATGCAAATAGTTAATAGTGTTTCATCTTTAATTTTATGTATATTGGAATTCTCATTTAAATCAGTAGAGGCTAAAATAAATATTTAAAGACATAAATTTCCGTAGCAAATCCAAGAAATCTCATTTGTTTGATGCTTGGTATAAATATCCATGCATTCTTTTCTATTTCATTGTTTCTCATGTTCAGAATGCTATAAATTAGGGTAGAAAAGTGTGATTCTTAATTAATTCACTCAATTTTTCATTTAAGTTTCCTCATCTATGGAGTAGGAATAATAACAGTATGTCATACTGGGTTGCTGTGAGGATTATGTGTGAAGGATTTAGAACAATTCTGGGCATGTTATAGGTGCCAGTCTTTTTCCACCAGAGCTCCACAAAAGAATTAAGCCCTACGGAAAATGATTTGAGTAACTTATAATTGACCCTTGAATGATGTGAGAGTTAAGGGCCCTTGCAATTGCAAATCTGTGTATAACTTTTGGCTTCCCAGAAACTTAACTACTAATAGTCTACTGTTGACAAGAAGCCTTACTGATAAGAGAAACAGTCAATTAACACATTTTTCTATGTGTATTATTCAAGTAAGCTAGTGATCAGACAGTGTTAAGAAAATCATAAGGAAGATGAAATTTATTTTATTATTCCTTAAGTAGAAGTAGATCATAAAAGTTTTAATTGTCTTCATGTTGTTTAGGCTTAGGAGGAGGAGCATGAGGGATTGGTCTAGTTGTCTGGGTGGCTGCAGTGGAAGGACTTGTGCAGGTCATCCGTGATGCTCAAGGGTCAGCTGTGTTTTCTCTGTTCTAAGGATGGTACACAGCACTACAATAGATGCATAGGAATTAGGTCAAATCATTTACATGTAATGATGTCGTAGGCATTAGGGCCTAATCCTTTGGGAACCTCCAATGAAAAGGGCTTACACTGCTTAGCTATTATTATTTTGGTTGCAAGTGACAGGAATCCGTTATTCAAACTATTTAAACTGTAGGCCAGGTGTGGTGGTTGACACCTATCATCCTGGCACCTTGGGATGCTGAAGAGGAATCACTTGAGTTCAGGAGTTCAGTAAGAGCCTGGATAACATAAAGAGACATTCTCCCTGCCTCCATTTCTACAAAAAATTTTGTAAAAAAATTTACCAGGCATGGTAGTGTGTGCCTGTAGTCCTAGCTACTCAGGAGGCTGAGGCAGGAGGATCCCTTGAGCCCAGGAGTTTGAAACTTCAGCCTAGGTGACAGGGTGAGACTTTGTCTCTTAAAAAAAAAAGCTGGCTTAAAGAATAAAGGGGCTTTATTGTTTCATGTAAGTGAAAAACTAGGGAACGCCTCAGATGATTTGATCAGGACTCTGACTTTGTATTTCTACTATTCTTTTGCTTCAGCCTTTTCTTTGGCTGTTCAGTTGAACTAATATTTCTAACTATATTTTCAAAAGAGGCATATATTTTTTCTTAAATATGGGCTTATTGCTAAAATCATAAGGTATCTTTTAATATATGTATTTTAGAAGCCTAGAGTATTTGGAATATGATAATTATTAAACAAGCCAATTCTTTGCTTAGATAATTATATCTGATATTTGTGTGTTTAAATATACACATGCATTTCTAAATTACAGGAATACATTCTGAAAAGGCCCAAAGCTACAAACCTCTTTAGTATGATCCTGTCTCATACAGGCTCTTTAGTATAATCCCAGCGCTTTGGGAGGCTAAGATGGGAGGATCACTTGAGGCCAGGAATTCAAGATTAGCCTGGGCAACATAGTAAGATCTATCTCTACAAAAATTAGCAGGGTATGGTAGTGTATACCTGTAATCCCAGCTACTTGGGAGGCTGAGACAGGGATCACTTAAGTCTAGGAGTTCAAGTCTGTAATGAGCTATGATCACCCCCACTGCACTCCAGCCTGGGCAATAGAGCAAGACTCTGGCCTCTTTATCAAAAAAAAAAAAAGGCTCGGCACCTGTGGCTCAAGCGGCTAAGGTGCCAGCCACATACACCTGAGCTGG